TCCTGCCAGAGTACATGCAAATAACCGGCAGCAATAGCAGAAAAGGGCTACATCAGTAATTCCAAATATCTATTACAACTTAAAAGGCTCAAAGAATGGATCAAAATAATAAATAGTGAGATACATTTTTGTAGCAATCATCATTACTTAAAATTTAAAGTCAAGCAAAACTTAGAATTTAGTTATAGGATCTTTTGTGAAAACTTCAGATCTTGATATAAACTTTTACAGTCAAGATCTCTAATTAAAGCGTAGGATCTATACTTACATCTCATTGAAATCGGTTAATATCCAAGGCGAAAAATGAAAAATATTGCACATAAATAATGATATATGGTGAGCCTTAGTGATATGCAGATTTTTTTTTGTTTTAAATAGCTGATTGATTGAGATTGTATAATTGTACCTTGTTGCCAAGCGGGCAACGTATACAAAATTTATCAATAAATAAAGCGAAAGTGCTACTGATATGTGTTAAGGAATAAAGATAATGGTTCTACCATCTTGGTATTTGGTAATACCTACTCACTTTGCAAGAATAACATGGCATTGTGTGGCAGGTCTTCCCATATGGTGAGCAAGAAAGGTTTCTTCCCATAAGGTGAACAAGAAAGGTTTCTTCCTGCAAAGTTATGAATGTCAGCTGAGCGTTTTCTTATTTGATCGAGAGTAAATGACTTACTCGTCATCCATAACTATGGCCTCTTGAAATTTCTTGGTTTGATTGGTAGTGTATTTAATTATCCCACAATTTGTGACCGCTGGTAACATATCTGTTGTTATAAATAACAGAAGAAATGTAGGTAAAACCAGTGGTTAGTTCGGCAACCAAGCTTTATTTAATCTGTGAGTGTCTCTCACTTTTTCTCATTCCCTGTGGGCTCTCACATCTTAATTCTTATTCCTTAAGTCAACAATAACAACAATAGCTATCCTCGTTCCCAAGCTAGTCGAATCGACTATATGAATCTTCATTCCGTTTGAACACCTCTTATTCCTTAATCAACAGCAATAACAATAAATATACTTGTTCCCAAGCTAGTCGGGACGACTATATGAATCTTCTTGGACACCTCTTATTCCTTAAGACAGAAGAAAAATTGTTGAATCTAAAACTCATCATTCGTAAATATTTTCTACTTCTATTACAGGAACTAAAAATCATTCATAGAAGAATTACTCTGTGATAATCAAGAATTGTTCTGTTCACGATAAGATAAAGTAATTTAAAATTTAAAATTAAATTCCTCCGTCCCAAAAGAACAACATAATTTGGAGTACGAATAACAATGCATCTATGTGTCTGTTCCACCTAAAGGTGGTTGTAATTTCCTCTACAGTAATAGCGACCTAATAAATGATCTGCGCATTAACAGACTGCTTTGCTAACAGCTCTATGAGAGAATATTGACACGCAAATGTGTAGCAAACAACAAAACTATCTATGTTTGGATACTTTATCGAAAAAGCTGATTAAACTTGCAACACTAAGCAACTTTGGGGAAGTAAGCTTTCTATTTTCTAATTTCGCGGTGGTTTCTCCGATTGGTGGATACTGGATAAACTCGCCTATAGAAGCCAGTTAAACGGCAACCTTTGAGAGCAAATAATAGGAAATCCCGAGTGTACCATTTTTGTCATCCTACTCTAAAATAAAAAGTTTCCTTCCAATCTCTCCCAGATCATAGTTTTTCCATAAGATATTTTACTCCATTCGTCATCCATATTCTTAGCATACAGGGAAGGCAAATCCAATAGCAATAAAGAACACGGTCTCAAGATTCAATATCCTAATAAAAATAAAATTTGAATATTTTAAATTCTGAATCAATAGCGATCCAAGGTCAGAATCACATATACAAGAATCACATAAAAATTAGAAGCAAAAAAACAAAAAAAAAAAAGCAACATTTGAGAAAAATTACCTGGCAGCCACTTTGGTTACCTGACATTCTCCTTATTCATTTCACATGCTGATTAAAAACTCCCAAGACAGGATACAAGCAACTGCCCTTAGTGAAATACTGTTAGTACCATCAAGCTATCTGAAACATCCACAACTGCAACGTTTAATATGTACAACAATTATATGCTCTTGTCATAATTCAGACCAGCTTTAGCACTACCAAATAAAGAAACTTTCAGGCACACACTTGGAGACTAAGACAGCCAATACAATCATATTTTATGTCAAAGCACCTTCTATGAAATTAAGAAACAATAATTTCAAAGATTATCAAAAATAGTGTGTAAAATTTCTCACCTCTTAACAGCATACGGTCTTACAGTACTTCAACTTAAATTAGCCTATAACCTCTTGGTGTAATTCAGAAATTTTTAAGTCCCACCAAGCCGCATAAGTATGAAAAAAACCAAGTCTAAGAATGAAACCAACCACTTTCTTATGATGCTAGCAAAACAGAAGATGCAGAACATAATCAATTCAGCGACCTAAAATTGATTAATTTAATGCAATATCAAAGGCTTATAATTTGTAGGCGCACAACTTCCAACGAAAATGGACATAAGACCCTTCCCGTTTTACTAAGAGCACAATTTTATTGTAATCTGGTTAAGAGTCAATTAAAAATCCTTATAGCTTCTTCAGTCATGCCATTGGGGGTTAATGCCTTAGTACCTCTGTATTGAGTCGTCGTATTCCTATTCAATCTCGTTGTATTGCCAGGAAAAATAATTATTATTTATTGCTACTTTTAATAATTTACATTAAAGTAGTAATATTCCACCTATTATTTACTCCAAAAGAAAAACAGTTACAATATTTTTTCTTGCAATAAATGGATAAATTCATGCAAAAAATGAACAATCTAATTTCTAAATTTCAAGTTTACGCTCATGGTAGTGCGAAGGACAGAGGAGTATCAATGTGATGCTATTATAGCCATCTTTAAAAGAACATACCAGATTTTCCGAGAGAACATTTTATCAGACACTTTATAAGTGTCAGTACCATTCTTTCATCCTTTTTTCAGAATTAATTTAATACCAATTGTGTTGCCGTTCACCAATCAACGTCTGAGCATAAAAAAAACATAACATCACAATCATCCGAAAAGTCATCATAACAGCATCCCCAAAATAGACCCGAGGAACAATACAGTGAGTACATAAAATACATTACATAGAGTGCACCATCCATACATTACACTTACTTGGGCATATACAAACAGACTCATCACCACTCTTGAAGTACTCATTTGGAGTACGGTGCTTGTTCATATGCATTCAATGATTTCCATCAAACCCATCCGAAGCAAACTGAGCTATAAACTACTCTTCAGTATCTCTGAGTCTCTAATCAGCGGTACCCTTAACAACTAATCAATATTCGGAGACGACAAACAAAAACAGTTAAAATTCGATGTTCGAAACCCTAAAATTCACCTAAATGTCATAGTAATATGAATAGCTTCAAGGTCGTATTTGCTATTTGCAGAAAGACATCGGAATCAGATGAAGAACAAGAGGACGATGAAACAAGCACTTTGCTTATTCCTCCGCCTCTTAGGGCTGTTTTACGAAGACAAATAGCAGAAGGAAGAGGAGAACTAAGAAAGAGCGAATTGAGGTCATGAGGAACACGAGATACTCGGTGCTTCGGCAATGGAGAGAAACAGAGAGACAGAGAGCAAATGATGGAGAGCAAAACACTTTTACGTAAACGGGCCTAAGAAAATGTGGGTAATAAGAAAACCTAAGGGTATAAATGTAATTACACCCGAAAGGAGGACGACGAAGAGCAACTTTACTCCCGCTTCTAAACAGTAGGAAAAAAAAAGGCGAAATACATAAACCGCCCGTTCAAGTTGTCCTCAACGACCAGCTGAACACCCCAACTGATCCATTTACCATTTAGACACTTCAAGTGACTATTAAGTGTATCAAGTAAATACCCGAGTGCTGAAGACTCTATGCGTGAGCTACACTTGCCAATGATGTGTCAAATGAGCCAATTAAAAAATGACACGTGTAAATTGGAATAAAAAATTGCCACATAATTAAAAAAAAAGAAAATACATTAAAGATTAAATAAAAACCCTCACCAGCACTACCCCTCCCCCTTCCCCCTTCCGCCCTCCCCATTCCCCCCGCCCTTTCATCTTCTTCTTTGCATCAGTCATGTCCTTCATCTCCTTTTCTTAAATCCCTTCCCTCCAACAAATTAAAAATCAAACCAATATGAAATAACATAGAATAGCCAAAAAGAGAAACTACCGAGGGATCATTAATTGACCTCGCCGGATTATGCGACCTCCATTATCGAAAAATTATTCTCCAAGCAAATGAGATTGTTTGAATCTTTTTCTGCCTCAAAAAACAAAAACTGGACTAGTCTAGTTGGATGCCTGAACTTGAACACCTCTTCAAAATTTATTTCAACACTGCTTGTGATAACTTCTTCAGCCATGGATAACTTTGAAGACCACTAGATTTGGCGTCACTTTTTAGTCTTTGGATTTTGAGTTCTTGATTTTTCCTATAATTAATAAAGGAGAAAAATAGAAGAAATAGAGGGAGAAAAAATGGAGTAGTGGAGCCTTCACCGAAGCAATGGCCGGAATTTTGGTCGGAATTTTGTTTCAACACTGCTTACGAGGAAGAAGAAGCCTGAACTAGTTGGGTGAAAAAGATTAGAGGAAAATATAATGATATAGTGTGGGACCCACATACAAAATTTAATTTAATTTTGAAAATAAGAGAGAAAAAATCTGATAAAAGTCTCAAGCGGCCAAATGAAACTAAAATACACGTAACTTGCCATGTCAGCGTGAGGTATTTACTTGATACATTTAATAGTCATTTAAAGTGTCTAAATGGTAAATGGATCAGTTGAGATGTTCAGTTGGTCGTTGAGGACAACTTGAAGGGGTCGTTTATGTATTTCGCCAAAAAAAAATACTCTTGGGGTCGTAGGGGTAATTTGGGAAAATTACAACTGCTTTAACCTAACACACGCAGTATTCTTGTTTTACCCAATTTTGACACGTACAACCCTCAAAATGAACGCTCAGTGCATACGCTGCTTCTTCCTTCAGATTTTCACAATTGCTCAAAGCCTCTTCCAGTTTCGCTTGGAAAATGGGGAATTTCCCTTTTTTTTTTTTTTGGTTTCCCCTAGAATTTCTGTAAATTAACATAGGCATCCGATCTCAGACCTTATTGTCCAACGATTTCACTTTTGTCTCTGGATCTAAACTCTATATATCCGATCTCAGATCTTATTGTCCAACGATTTCACTTTTCTCTCTGGATCTAAACTCTATATACTCTGACAAGATAGTTCCGTCACAAATCTCAAGGTAATTTATATTTCTTGCTTGCTGCAGAGAAATGATTTATTTTAAATGAATTTATTTGGTTCTAGGTATTTTTCAGATTGTTGTTGTCCAAAAATTGTTTATATTGGGTAAATTGCTTAACCAAAAGTCCAAAATTGACAGAAGTGCTAACAGTACTCGACACAAAGGAGATGAGTTGAGTGGGAAATGTGATTTTTCACTTTAAGTCATATAGGTATTCCCTATGTCCTAATAGACTTGATTGTTTTCTTTTTTTCCCGTGTAGAAAAACCTTATTTGAATCCAATTAGTAAGGTTTCGAACATCACTCAAAAGTATATTTCTTGATCATCTTATCCACATCAAAATACTTAAAAGGTAGCTGAGTCAATTAGTAGGATTATCTCAATAACATTTTCAGTCTCATGAAAAAATCTATATCCCCAATTTATAGAATCATTAATTATTTATTATCTCATTACATAATCTAAACTCCAAAATTCCAAGAAATTCTTCATAAATTTAATCAGCTAGCCTGCCATGTCCAAAAAGATATAAATTCATGATCCGCAGCACAACTGAAATCTAGCAGATGAATTTCTGAGATTTAAATGTTAAATGTCATTTACATGGTCTAACATATAGGGAGAGAAGTCCTCACCAATTTCTTAACTATACTCCTGCTAAGTAGTCACATAAAACTGGAAAATTACAACTGCCATATACTCAGAATAATTACTCTGCAGATAAATTGATCCTATCTTCCTAGGTTTTACTTTTCACTTATCAAGGTCTTACTAATGAAAAAAAAGAAGACCGAGTCTAATGGCAGAGATGGGAAGAAGAAAAAAGCAGGAAGATTTAGGGTGTGTTTGGTACCAAGGAAAATGTTTTCCATAGAGAGGAGCTTGGGGTAGTAAGGGTATTTTGGGAATAGCAAAAGGCTTGCTTGCCCCATCCGGAGTACTTCTGGTATTTCAACATATTTTCATGCTTCAGTTATGATGTGCCAAGTACAATACTGTGAGTACCTTTTTACTTATGGGCCCCACCTGAACATTATTTCATATGTACACAAAAGTGGGCTCCACTAGCTGCCTTTTGATCCAGTTAATTTTACCATTTCATAACTAACTCTCTGCATATAAAAGTAAACTATGCTGCCTTATTTAATACTTTATATTAGAATTTTATTTTTAATGTAATTAGAGTGAACTAATATATTATCTAGAGCTCTAACAAAGAGAAATTAGAAAATACCCAGCTCAAACAGGCAATAATTGAGAGAAGCACAAGCGCCTCGCCTGCAGGATTTTGAAACTTTTGTTCCGTGCCTATAAACATGATTTGAAATTAATAGTATACTAAAAAGAGAAATTAAATTTATCCTATTTCTCCAATTATTTTCTTAAGAAGTCCAACAAGAAATCCATGCCACGTTGAGCTATTGCTATTATTTTGAAATTACACTCTCAAAAAATTATAAAGTAAATGTTAGTACTACGTTAATTATAATTAAACAAATAAAAAAGATGATATTATTGAGATTAGAGTAGCTGCGATAGAGGGGCGACTCAAGCACGTTAGTAGTCTAAAGTCAAAATTTATTTGGAGGCCTTACATTTAAAAAATGAAAAATAATTTTCCCCCAAAAAATCTATTGTTTTAACTTTTGAAAATAATAATTTTTTTAAATTATCGAAATCTTCTAATATTTGTTTTTCAAATGATAATATAGCCAACTCTTTTAATTTTTCTTGAGAATTATTGATATTGGATAAGATACTATCAATTTTAATTTGGAAAAAAAACTTCTTTCTATTGAGGCAACTATTACATTAAGTGTTAGCATTATTTTATAAGAAATATAAGTATTTAAAATAGAATTATGTCCTTTCATTTAAATGAATATGTCGATTAGAGTATTATTTTCTACTTGTTCTATTTTCTTAAACACTTTTAGTTTAGAATAAGTCTAAACCAACAGTATCAGAGTGAACTATATTTTAAGGAACATTCAAGGTTAAGATAGTATTTTTTTAAATTCTTGTCATCTAACCTCTCATATTTTACCACTAAAATTTTTGAACTGTTGAACTATTAACTTATCCTTCTAAAATTCTACTTATATATAAATACATTATTACGAATGTGGGAAAATGCACACAGGAGGTCAACATGCCTGCTTGGCAGTTGGTGTGTTTTGGTAAATTCATTTAAAATGGAGCAATGTGATTGGCCAAAAAGGTATCTTAATGTAGCTACCATATAAATTCTGAGACTTGACGAAATTGTCCCTTGCTTATCTCATCGGTGATGTATTCAAAAGCTTTCATGGAGATGTGGGTCCCATCTGAGTTTTGTTTTACATGTTGCTATCATTCTGCATATTAGCTATTTGTATTGTACCACTCATTGAAGAAATGGGGCCCATTTAAAGTTCTAAATTCTAATGCTGCTTTAATTACTACTGGGTGTAGTCTTACACTGTTATATATACGTAAATATTAGTACTACTATATAATTTAGTTTGAGTGCACTAGATGTGAATTAAAAGTTGAAAACTACATAAAAATATTTAGAATTCTAATGATCTTTTATACATATATTAAAGCATAATTTAGGTTGTCATCTTTTACGCCGAATACTTTTATTTAGAGAAAATAATATAGAAAGATACAAGGAGAGTACTTGAATTTATTTATATATAATTTATAGCTATCCAATGTAAATACATAAATGGTATAAATTTATATAAAATAAAAATTTTGTATACTTTTGTAGCTATCGATTAAATAGTTTCGGCAACAAACTAAAAGTAATCTTTGCCAAAAAAATAATTATAGACGCTATATATATATATATATATATATATATATATTCGTCGGCTATCATTTTGGAAGACTGTTTAAATTTTTCTAAAAATTAGGGGTGGCAAAATTACATCCATTTATTAACTCAATTCATTTCCATTCAAATTCAGACCAATCAGTCCATTTAATATCCTAATAAAAATCAACAAAAAGGAAAATGGTGAAAAATTTATATTGCAACATAAAGCTTCAAGAGTCATAAATACTTAGCAACAAACTTACTTTTAAGGCAACTGATATTCAATGGCATGTATGAGTAATGCCTAAGCTTTCAGAGATAAGATCCTGGACGCGGCTAAGACTGTTCATAACTTGTTAAAATTGAATTATTTGTTACTCCTTCCGTTCCAATTTATGTGAACCTGTTTGACTGGGTACGGATTTTAACAAAAAATGAAGACTGTTAGAATTTGTGGTCCTAAACAAATCCAAATGGGACCTAGAGTATTTGTGTGGTTATAAAAGCTTCCCATTAAGGGTAGAGTTGTAAGTTTAAGCTAAATTGTTACCAAATTTAGAAAGGGTTCATTCTTTTTGGAACGGATCAAAAAGGAAATAGGTTCACATAAACTGGAACAGATGGAGTATAAAATAATGACTGTAAAGTAAACAAATCGAAGACAAGTAGAGAGAGAGAGAGATTTATTATTCAACTTCAAATTCATGTACATAATTAACTTAAATCTCCTCTATTTATAGAAGAAAGGAAGTTGCTGTGTAAGCTGCTACTGCAAGCTGCTGTGTAAGCTGCTTGTAATTTGCTTGTAAGCTGCTACTGTACCAGATATAGATAATCTTCTACCGGGGCCCATGTGGAAGTTGTTTTGTATCCTTGTATGAGTTCAAATCACGGTAGTGTTTTTTGCTCTTTTGTGTGTTTTTTTGAATCAAGTTTGCATTGTATTTGATTGTACCATCTCTTTTCTTTCGGTCCGTAGCAGAATTCTGAAACAGTGGCAACATGCTTTCTTATGTACAATTGAAACTAGTATAAGATCACTCGCCCTGAAGATGCAATGGGAGCCTCCATTGGACCAAGGCTATCCGGGATGCAGAAGCAAGTGCTTGCTCTTTATAGGGGATTCCTAAGAGCAGCACGCTCCAAGCCTGTTGAGGAGAGAAGGCAAATTGAGTCAATTGTATCAGCTGAGTTCCACAAAAATTCTAAGCAAGTTGACCGTAAGAACTTTATTTATATTGAATACTTACTTCATCGTGGTAAGAAACAACTTGATCAGCTTAAAAGCCCTGATACTGTTGGATTGTCATCCTTGAGTGTTGATTCTTCACGAACTAGGAACTCATCCTCCTAGATTTTTCTTACAAAATCCACTCGTGTTCAACTTTATTGGAGTTGGTTGATTATGTCATCTCTTTTGCTAGGATTAGCATTGGGCATTCGAATGCCAAATTTTATTTACAAACACATATACTGGGATTCAGAAACATATGTACGGTGTTAAGAGTTTGTAATGTACCATTATCTAGAGTGAGAGTCATAGTTGCTGTAAGAGCAATTTAACGACCGGCAAATGATCCTTTTTAGGGAAAAGAGACTGGCAGATGGTTTTGAAACAAAGATAATTCATTTTTGATGATTTTTGTTTTGGTTCTCTTCAATAAGGAGCTTGATTATTCCAATAGTAAGAGTAAAGAGTTGGGAGCTTTTACAACATTAATAAATTCATTTGCTGGTTGTTCCTGAAGTTTACATAAATACTTGCATACAATTATCACAGTATTTCAATATTTAGATGGCATTTACGTTTTCTTCAACAGAAATGCAAGCCAAGCTTGATAGAAACAGACAGTTCAAAAGTTGTTTAGAAAAAAGTATTAACTATGCTTGAATAGTAGTGGTTGTAGTAGCTGTTAATTCCATGATGTGTATATGCGCTGTCTAACTCTGAGATCATATAGATTATGACTCGCATTTAAATGGCATGACATCTTCAGGTGTCTGGACTACCGGTCTGATCCTCACAATATTTCACATAATTGTGCACTATATTGCATCAATTATATCGTACGATCATTTCATATCGGTTCGCAAGCGACATAACTTGTTGAGATCTCATCACTTTCTTTATTTTCAGGTACCTGAACTTCTTCAGGAGTTTCATGAAATGTTATGTCGTGGGCTTTTTTAGAGCTTATTTCCTCCTTGATATGATCATTTTGATCATTTGCTCCTATCCTTTTCAAGGATTGTTATCTTTGGAACCGATTGGTCTACCATGAACCAATACTATGCTTAGGTTGTGCTAATTAGTATGTGTAAATTTTCCTCTTAATTTATATGCACTGGTAATATAAAATTTTACTTAAAATATCAAGTTATTAAAATAGTAAGTGCTTCTAAGTTTTTGACACATACATTAAGAGAATCATTTAATAGCATCAATATAATTGTTATTTAACTAAGTTATCCTTTATATCTTCTTAAATTACTCTTTGTATATACACATATCTTGTAGATCATTTATTGGTTCAAGGATAGTTAGGGAAAATACTAATTAATGCCTTCTTAAAAGAAATGAAAGATCAATTTTAATTTAAAACCATTTGCTCTATTTTGTATATATTTATTTTTCTTTTTCACGTTAGGTTAGACTCTATTTTGCTCTACTATTTTATTTTTATAAGATTTTATAGATGGGTATTGCTCACGTTAGATTAACATTAATTTACCGTGATAGAATGAAAGATCAATTTTAATTTAAAACCATAGGCTTCCCTTGTTTACCAAAAAAAAGACTCTAATTTTATTTTATAAAATTTTAAAAATAAATATGCTAAAGTTAGATAATAAAGACATATTAGTTTTAATTAAAAAGAAACTGCGAATAATGTATTTTTGATTTACTATGAAGTTCATGTTTGAGAAGGAAAACTTTGAGACTACATGCGCCCATAATATAATCTAGACGCGATATTTATAAATTTGTGAGAATGCGAAAGTAAAATTTTATATAATTCCAACTTCAAATAATTCTTTTTTCACCTTTTCTGATGATATCTTAAATGGAATTCACAGTAAATAATCATTCTCCATATACAACTGTAAATAAATAAAATCTACTAATAATATAATCTAACTTTAAGATATTTGTGTTAAACTCATACATATTGCTAAATATTCTATTATTTTTTTCTTATTCAAGTATGTAACGACCCGGCCGGTCGTTTTATGAATTTCATCCTCGTTTTCCTCATTTTTGCTTCTTATTGTCTTGTTCAGCTGTATTATATGTTATCGGGTCGATTAGTTCGGGTTCAGAGAGGTTTTGGTAAGGTTTGAGACATTTAGTCTCTTTTGAGTAAGCTTAAGTTGGAAAAGTAACCGGATGTTGACTTATGTGAGAAAGGGTTCGGATGTGAATTTCGATGGTTCGGATAGCTTCAGGAAGTGATTTGGGACTTAGGAGCGTGATCAGAATGTGTTTTGGAGGTCCGGAGTAGATTTAGGCTTGAGTTGGCGAAATTGGAATTTTGGCGCTTTCCGGTTGATATGTGAGATTTTGATATAGGGGTCGGAACGGAATTCCGAAAGTTGGAGTAGGTCCGTTGTGTCAATTGTGACGTGTGTGCAAAATTTCAGGTCATTTCGACGAGGTTTGATAGACTTTTCGATCGAAAGCGGAATTCGAAAGATTTTTGGAACCTTAGGCTTGAATTCGATGTTATTTGGTTGATTCCATATTGTTTGAGGTGTTTTGAAGATTGGTATAAATTTGGATAGTGGTATATGACTTGTTCGTGCTTTTGGTTGAGGTCCCGGGAGCCTCAGGGTGATTTCGGATGGTTAACGGGGAGTTTGGAGTTGGGAATTTGCAGCTGAAGCTGCTGAGTTTGCTGTCATAACCGCACCTGCGGCTTGGAGACCGCAGGTGCGAGCCCGCAGAAGCGGAAGTGAAGTCGCAGATGCGGCCAAGAGAAGGAAAGGCTGGAGCCGCAGATGCGGAAATTGGGCGCACCTGCGAAGGCGTAGGTGCGAGAAGGTGATCGCAAGTGCAGTGGCTGGCGGATAAGTGAAAAACCGCAGATGCACACCTAGGACCGCGGATGCGGGTTCGCAGGAGCGATAATTGGACCGCAGATGCGATTTTGCTGGGTCAGAACATATATATTTCGCCCTTCGCGAATTTGGGCTATTTTTCATAACATTTCAAACGGGAGGAAGCTTTGGAGAGCAATTTCAAGGGAGATTTTCAGAGGGATTCATTGAGGTAAGGTCCTTGGTTCCTAAGCTCGTTTTTATGGGGATTTTTATCGTTGTTAGCATGAAAATTTAAGGGAAAATCAGTGGTAAATTGGAGGTTAGGGCATGGTTAATTGGAGAGCTTTGAGTGGTGATTTGAGGGGTCATTTGAGGTCCGATTTTGGTATTCTTGGTATGTATGAACTCGTGAGAGTGTGAGGATTCTAGTTTTGTGATTTTTATCGGAATCCGAGGCGTGGGCCCGAGGGGCCGGATTTTGACCAATTTCGGGATTTTGATGTAATTTGATTATTTTCGAGTGGGCTTTGTTCCCTTAGCGTATTTTGATGGCTATATACTGATTTTGGTTAGATTCGGAGCTTTTGGAGGCCG